TGAACCATGGATCTTCTTAGGTCTAGGCTTTTATGTCTGCCTTGGTGAGAATTTATTGCCTGGCCCTTTAGGCTGGAGTTACTTAACTAGCAGGTCAAAGCTGTAAATCCATCAGACTGTCGCATTGTTGTAAATGCATTCTGAATTTAAAAGGAATTGGGTTCCTGTGGGTAACAAACACTGTTTTCATTGAGCAAGGCAGGGTTCATTGTCAGAGTCAAGCAAGGATTGATATTTCTAAGAAACCTTCACAGTGAGAGCCAGTTACAAAAGATGCTTAGCTTAAAGCAATATACAAAACCTGCAAGGTCGGGCTATCAAGAGAAATTATTCTCGGAGGACCGCAGTTAGGTGGAACCTTATGGAGAGGGGAGTTTTAGTCTCTCCCCACATGCAGCTAGCACTGATCAGTCTGGATTTCCATCTCTTGGTTGCTTTTGTGTCAGCTTGCACTTGTGTCAGCTAACACTCTAGAAGATAGGCTCAAGATCCAGATGGATCTTGACAGACTTGAACACTGGGCCCTATCTAACAAAATGAAATTCAATGTAGAGAAGTATAGTCCTACTTTGGCAAGAAAAACCAAAAGTACACATATAGACTGGCTTAATAGCAGTAACTGTGAGAGGGATCTTGGAGTTTTAGTGGACAACCAAGTAAATATGAATCAAGAGAATGCCACAGCAGCCAAAAAAGCCAATGCAATCCTAAATTGCATTAACAGAGGGATACAATCCAGATCAAGTGAGGTACTAATACCACTCTATAAAGTCTTCGTATGACCACACCTAGAATACTACATCCAGTTTTGGTCACCACACTATAAAAAAGATGTTGAGACTCTGAAAAGAGTGCAGAGAAGAGCAACCAGGATGATTAGAGGACTGGAAGCTAAAACATACAATTAACGGTTGCAGAAACTGGGCATAGCTAGTCTAGTGAAGAGAAGGACTAGGGGAGACATGATAGCAGTGTTCCAATATTTGAGGGGCTGCCACAGAGAGGAGGGAGTCAAGCTATTTTTCAAAGCACCTGAAGGCCAGACAAGGAATAGTGGATGGAAACTGAACAAGGAGAGATACAACCTGGAAATAAGGAGAAAATTTCTGACAGTGAGAGCAAACAACCAATGGACCAGCTTGCCTTCAGAAGTTGTGGGAGCTTCATCACTGGAAGCTTTCAAGAAGAGACTGGACTGTCATCTGTCAGAAATGGTGTAGGGTCTCCTGCTTGGGCAGGGGGTTGGAGTAGATGACCTACAAGGTACTTTCCAACTCTGTTAATCTGAATATAAGTGGTGGTGTCTCAGGGTCAAGTATATATACAGTGGCTTGCCCTACCAGTATTAGTGAGGGTATGGCTTTCTCCTTGGTAGTTCCTTGATTAGGGTATTGTTTTTCTACTTGATTGTGTTAATTCCCTGGCAGGACACACCACTATATAGAAAGAGGGAGTAAACCTCACGCTCTCACACTAATGATGTTAACTAGTAGGGTCATGAAATGTCTGCAAGCAAACAATCACAGTCAGAGAGCACCAAGAAGTCCACAGTTCCTCTCTGAGCTACATATTTATCTTTTTTAAGAAGCAAGATTTCCAAACAAACAGTTTTGAATGGCACAATCATTAAAAAAAATGCTGGGCTGAATTCAAAGCAATTTTGCAAACTTGCTGTTATTTGTTATTATCCTTAATATAAACAAGTAGTTTATCTTATATTTAAAATAAAATATATGGTAATAGAATGAGTCCTGGTACTAGATTTGTTTGCGTAGAGCATGGTTGATAGAAATGCCTCTAAAGAATGGTTTTCCCTTTTGTACTACAACCTCAATTTATCAATCGTGTTTTAGAATTCTAGGTTTTCTTTGTCAGTTTCTGGAAGAATTCAGATCCTAAGCTCATATATAAATTGAACACAATGGCAGTGATGTCGCCTTGTATTGCACATTTCCACGAAGCGTCTTCTTGAGTTAATCTGTTTTCTAATGAAAAAATTTCCTGGATCTGATCAGAAGGACTCATGACTCAGAGATGTAGCTACTGCTAGTTGTTGCTTGGTTATTAAGCACCATCAATGTACTTGAATTGGTGGGGTTTTTTTTTTCAGCCAGTGGCAGCATCTAATCCAGGATCATGCCTGGTTAGTATTTGGGTAGAAAATTTCCAGGAAATCTTTGGACTATAAATTACAGTAGGAAATAACAAATATCTTCTTCATCCTCATCATTATCATCCCAGGAGAAGGCAATGTACTTCTCTATTATTGTTAAGAAACTACATTTATTAAACAAACAAACAAATAAATAAAGTAGAGATTCAGGAAGTTGCTTTTATCTGTGCGATATTGATGAATACAAAGAGGCAACCTGGGGAGAAACCATCTACTGTGATTATGCACTAATAAAGTATCTGATTTTCTGACCTTAGAACATTTGATGCTCAGCAGTCTTTCAGTCCTGCATGTAATGGAAAGAATTATTTTGGAGTTGGCAGGCTGCACTTTAAGGAATTGTTTGCTCTTTCTCTTTTTCCTGTTTTAAAAGACAAACAACCTTAAAACTTCTAGGTTGATGGAGATTCCTGTAGAGAACATTATGACCATGTAACAACTCAATTGAGCACCAGATTGATTTCTTATACCCTTCTCTGTTGAACAGGATATTAAAACCACACTACCAATCTACCGTGATACCAATTCCAAGGGCTGCACCACTTGTTCAGAAACACTTACATTGTAGCATTACCACCCAAATAGTTCATTCGGATGTTTAATCTTAACACAGCAGAACAAAAAAATAAATAAATCCATAATACATTTTGAGACAGTTTTTATAACAAAACTCTTGATCTTTAAATATGCAAATACATTTCTTTGTTTTTACTTTCACGGTCAATGTTTTCTACAGTAGAACCATATTTATTTGCAAAACAAGTACAATGAGCTATGGTTTGAAAAGGTTCACATACATTGCAGTCCTATGCTCACTGCCCATACAGTAAGGAAATACTGTGTTCTCATACCCTTTGCCATAATACGTGCAAGTATTTATGAATCTAGAAGTTCATTGAATTGCAAATATTTTTTAAAAATGTAAATACATACTTCAACTGTGTATGATTACTGTTTTGCTATTGAAAGCTGCTTTATTCTGAGTCGAACCACTGGTTGATCTATTTCTAAGGATGTAAAAAAAAAAAAGGTTGTGATCTGCAGTGAGAATGAATTAGCTTGATTCACCAGAACTGATCTTGTCATGGAGTAGATGGGCAGGTGTGACTGGAATCTATTAACATCTGTTCTGTTATAAAATTGCACAATGCATTATATGGGAAGGAAGAAGCAGCATGTACAGAATGGGATAAATTTTAAAAATGATTTATTGGTGTTTTTTAAAAAATATATAGAGTTATTTGTGTTTTCAAAAACCTTATATTTCAAGAAATTATGTACGTCATCATATACAGATTTTTCAGTAGCAAGTGTGTATTTGTAGAAAATTGACAATATCTATAACATTAACACTAAAACATACTAGATTTAGACTGATTAGCTTATCACAATCTAGAGATAAAATTAAAATTAAAATCATGTTTTATAGGATTTTAGGCTGTAAAAAAATTTCCAGGACTGGAAATAGCCAGGACTGAATCTGATAAATTATTTTTTAATTATTGAGTTACAGTTTCTCAAATTGTGGAACATGACTCTGTGATGGTTATGAGCAATATGTAAGAGGGAAAGTTATGAGTTTTGTTAAAACATGATATAGATGTGTGCAGCCAAACTAAAAGCAATTTTAAGATTCATTCCAAGTTTTGCTGCTTGCTTTGTCTGTATAAGCTGACCATAGGCTTGCCTGGAAAACAAGATTAAACAGCATTGTTATTTTTCCACCAGAAATATGCACTGGGTGACTGTGGTCCTGCAAAGTTTGAGAAACATGATTATACTTTAATTATTAAAATTATTTATCATATTTATTTCTAACCCAACCCTAACTTCAATGAACTGATCAGTTTTATTCAAGGGAGAAGGTATATAAACTCATTTATCATTTCAGTGTGTTCTGAAAATTTTGAGGCACACTGGATTACAAACCTGTCCTGAGAGAGCAATATAAATCCAACATAATAGGCTAGTTTATGTGTTCTTTCTGATTCTGAAGAGGTGATTTTTCTAGAGCAGTTCTTCACCATCTTGTGTAAACAAGATGTGTTGGATGACTATACCCAGAGTTTTCAGATAGCACGCCAAATCTACTGTAGTATAGATTTTTGCCTTGCTTCTTATTCTCATGAATCTTCCTTCATCCATTGATTTAGCGATGATGTGGTTACCTTGTATTTAATTATGTGGCTCCTTAGGGAATCTCTTGGCTTGGCAGCAGCTAACTTTCCTCTCTGTATTCAAAAACAATGACTATTCCAAGACTAAATGTATTGATTTTTTTAGCACATGTAATTTGCTGGCTTTTTAAGATGTAGATATTGAGAGGAAGTTTTGGGAGAATGTATAAAAAGGAGTATGAGAAATTAGCAGCAGGACTGAATTTATAGCAAGACACAGTTCTACAATTTTTCTGTCTAGTGACAAAGCTTACTATGGGAATATACAAAATATATATTCTTATGTTTGCACTATTTTTTTTCATGTTATCACAGAACTTAGTTATCAAATAAGGCAATTTCCAACAACAATTCATGATAGCCTTCAAAATGAGAAATGCCATACTAATTATTGGTCAGGACATAGCAACACATCTTTTTACAAAAGTATTATTTAAAAAAACATTAAGAGCCAGGTGAGTCATAATAATATAGTGTGAAGGCATACTATTTTAGAGTACAGATTCCTGTCTGCTTTTTTTTTTTTTGCTTTGAAACTCTTCTTTTTTATGGTTTATTATGCTGTGCATCCACAAAGTAATGTCCTGAAGCAGAATCATGGCAATTGAACATTCCGGTGTTTCTCTTACGTATTGTGTATTCTTTTCCAGGTACTCATTCCAGGATGAAGAAGACATGTTTATGGTGGTGGATCTGCTTCTTGGAGGAGATTTACGTTACCACCTGCAGCAAAATGTCCGTTTTGAAGAGGAGACTGTGAAACTATTCATCTGTGAGCTAGCACTGGCATTGGATTATCTCCAAAGCAGGAACATCATCCACAGGTGAGTCATGGGCTGGAAAGTTACATTAATGTTTTCAATGAGTATCAGACGATGGCTTGCTGGGTCACTGAAACTGAGATAGATTGAATTTCACTAGTAAGATGCAAGCCTAAGTATCTCCCTTTTAGGTAACATTTGTGACTGTGTGGTATTCACAGTTCTCTCTGAAACAAAGAGATTTGAACCAACAATATATTTTAAAAGAAATATTCATATTTTTCAAATTGAATATCTTAATACAAATATTTTCTTTTATTTCTTCTTTTTATAACCGACCATCCCATTCTGCAATACAATACACAAATCTTAACTAACTGTCCTGTAACTGATGGTAGACAAACATTCAGAGTATTTTTATTTCTAAGGCTTTTGACAGACAAACTGATACATATTCTAAAAATGCATATATTCATGTATAAGCTTTTCTGCTAATGTGACTGGTGTTTGCCTACTGTATGTGTGATGTGTGTGTATTTATAGTTTATATTTATATAAACTATAAATATATAGTTTATATTATATATATATATATATATATATATTAACAATGGGAGAATATTAAGAAGTTTCTATGAATCCCTGTATACCCACCCTGTTATTCCTAAATTTGGAATACTTTGTTCAAGTGATTTAAAGATACAAATTCATTTAAATCAATGTATTTAAGCCTGGCTACTCCATATACACCTATGTAAAGATGTACACATATCAGCCTTGTGAAACTTGTAAGTAAAACAGTTCCTGGAAAGCAATTTGAACGTGAGAAATGTGATGAAAAATGCTAACCTTTTTGTTGTGATTCCTGCCCTGTGAGCTTTTCCTTCTTTTGGGAAAGGAATATGCACTATGAACACTTGTGGAGGAAATAGAAAAATCACCAGTGTTCTATACCATTCCTCTGTGAACCATCATCATCTCCCACAAAAATGTGGTAGTTTAAAGAAAAGACTACTGCATATTAAAGAAAGGTTTATTACATATAAGTGAATTTTGTTTAAAAAAAAATATGGCCTGATATTTTGCATTTACAAAAAAACCTTCACAGAGTGAAGTTCGCATCCATCAATCTTTCTGACAGGTGATTCTCTAAGATTAGCTCTTTGGCTGCAATTGAGTCTCTGTAAGTCCCATTATTTCAAACAAGTGTCACATCTAGAAAACCAGTTTGTATCATACGAGGTTTAGATCATCGTCTCCTCTTCCTCTAGCATAATATTCCATATTGTTTTAATGTCACCTGGTCTTCAATATATTTTATTATGTCAATGGCATGAATCATGGAGCACAGCTATTTAGATATATTTAAGAAATATATCTAAAATCTTATTGGGCAAGATTGTGATCATATTTACTTTGTGTTCATCTGGGAGTCTTTAATACCTAATAAGGTTGTAGAGTAATATCACTAGGAGAAATTTAGTAGAAACACTTTAGGACTTAGAAATCAAAAATAAAGTGCTAATAGAATTCTGCTCTATGTAAATGGATTTTTAATTTTAAAAAACAAGATTTAAGAATTGGATGGTTATTATTTATTTAAGATGTCATGTATATCTATTTTCCCTTAATTTAAAATATTTAAGCAAATTTGTTTGCACATAAATCTTTTGCTTTTCTGTGTTATAAAGGAATATAGAGAAAGTAACTGGCAGTTGAGATATTGTTTTTAAAAGAATGTTGGAGAAAATATCTGAGTTTAATCAATTGGACATGGATTAATTGAATAATTCGTGAATTTAGGGATTAAAGAAATAGTGTTAAAAACCAATGAGATGATTTTTTGTATATCAGAAGGATCATCCATTGGAACCACGATCAGTTCCAATTATTTGAACTTTGCTGTGTATTATGCTCAGTTTACACATTTCTTCTACAGTTGTGTAAAACATTTGATTAAAAGTAATCAAGTGCTTGCATGCTTGTAGAGGAAATGAATAAGTCAAAAAGAGGACCATTCATATTTAAAGCAATATTCCCATGCTTTAAAAGCTATAGAAGAAGGTACAATTTTCTATGCATAGCCTTCTGTCCTATATTTCACCAGTCTTCAACACTGACTAACTGGGATTAGCATCAAGCAAACCTCAGGAAGTCCCCCCCCCAATCCTTTTATGCAACCCCCAGAATTCATGGCAGTGAATTTTAATAGGAAGGCAATATAAAATGGAGAAATCAAATACATATATGCATACAATACATACATACACACAATGTGTATATATACACATACAAAATATAATATTTTAAAAAGCTTCCAAAAGACAACTGAGAAATATTGTCCATTTGGATAATTACTATATAGTAATAAATTGCTGATCAATATTGTCATGATATTCAGTATATTCTAGGAGTAGAATGCAGACTGATATTGAATCCAAGTTAATTCTCCATGCTGTGCATTTGTGCAACATTCTCCAAGTTGCGGTCCCCTAGATATATTCAATCACCATTTCCAGCATCCTCCCAATGCTGATTGGTAGAATGAAGAGACAATCCTCAATGTCTGAAGACCACCATTTTGAGAAATTTTCTAGACTGATACAATTGGTTAGAATGTTTGAAAGGCTTATATGAATTATCTATTTTTAAATAAAAATTTTCTATGTGCTTGGGGTTTTTTTTAGGTTTGGTCAAATTGTATGGCTTTCGTTAAAGTAAGATGAGCATTGAAATTGTCCAGATCATTCAAGCTGATAGCACTATCAACTAGTGATTTTAAGATAAAAGACAGAAATGAAATCTTTTATTTTAATTTTCTGAGGGTGTGTGGCTTTTCTTTACCAGTCAGGACTTGGACAACAAAAATCAAAAAGATTGCGTGTGTTATTTAAAAGAGATGAAACATTTCATACATGGTCTTTCAAAATATATCATATTTACTCAAAGAAATTAGAAAGTGATCAGGTTGAACATACGGTTTTAAGTTAACAGCATTTTAAAAATGTAACCTAAAAAAAAGCATTCAAAGTGATGTCTTTGCAGCTTCCATACTGAAATGTTTTTCAGACTTTTGGGCAGGTTAGAATTGTCTTGCTGCAGTTTGAATATTTCCCAGGAGTTTTGTCTGTAGGTACACACTTTAAAAACAACACAGTTGTGTTCCATTCTGCTGTATTTAACTGTTGTACCTGGACAAATCCAGCTGCTTGTGTTGCACCTTCAGAGTCAGAGGTGCTTCAAAGCCAAGTGGGCTGGTAATGAAGGTATAAGATTAACTTTTTCTGCTGTGCACCTGTTCACCCAGCTAACAAATAATGAATGAGGATAAATTACACTTGGCGAGACAGAAAGATTCCAGTTATTTAGCACAGGGTTTGAAATTGGAAACTGGCCAAAAGATGGATGGTTTCATTTAAAATACAAACAAGCTTGATAAATATATAAATAATTCAGTTTGTGGCTTGCCTGTTTTTACTTTATTGTTATTAGCAAGAAGTGTCCTAGATTCAAAATAATGTTGAGAGAGGAAAGGGATTTTTTTTTTTTTGTAGCCATTTTGGTTTCCAGACCAATTAAGGGATCAGTGAGGTGCTCTGCTGAGGAGTGGTGTTATGTGTTATAGCTTACCTGATAAGTTTGCTGGATAGTGTTATCCAATGTGATGGAGAATATTGGATGATGACTATAAGGAGACAGAATTTGGTGCCAGACGTATGTTGCCTTTTTTCATAAGGAGTTACTGGACCATTTGAGTATAGAGCTAAATAATCAGATGCTTTGAGATCATTTCTTCATTGTGTTGGTAAATTAATGTTTGACAAACTTTCTCACTGATTCCTAACACTGACTTCTTTCACAAGCCTAGCTGTATAACAAAGTATGAATACTCTGTTTAATGCTGTATTTTAGAATTTTAGATTTTTCCTGACTGATAGGAATCTGAATCTGATACCCCTATTTTGGCTATCATAAGCAAACTTCTGTATTTCATAAAAATGAAAATTGCCTGCAAATTCATTGCACAGTGGTTTATGTCATTTTAACACTGTAGCAACTGTTAAATCAATTTAACAATAAAATATTGCTTTGGAAAAAAAGATTCCACATACTGAAATAAGAGTGGATTCTAACTAAATGAAATTCTGTCAAATATATGTGACTGATTTCACAAATGTTTTGCTATACATTGGAGTGAAATAGTTTCATTGCTTCTGAACTACGAAAGGCGCTGAATTCTCCTTTCGGTACATGCTCGTTATTACTGTGTAATCCAGGCTTTTTCTCTGTCTCACACACACATATATGCACATGCACACTTTATTCCCAGAGCACTAGACTCTTCATTTCCTTAAAATAACTGCAGGGTTTTGCTTTTCAGGATCCAGTGAAATATTACAAAGTGAAGATCAAATTTAAAATTCTTCTGACATGTTCTTTGGACTGAATATTATGCAAAAATTAAAAAATAAGATAATTAGGGGGATGTTTTGAAATGTGATTGAGTATTTTTTCACTTTAGGTTCAGTTTCTGTGTATCCAAGAATATAGGAAAAGAGGGAAGAGGGGTTTGAAAATATACATCTAGAACGGAGGTGGGTTTCAGCAGGTTCTGACCAGGAGAACCGGTAGTGGAAATTGTGAGTAGTTCGGAGAACCGGTAGTAAAAATTCTGACTGGCGCCACCCCGATCTATTCTCTGCCTCCCAAGTCCCAGCTGATTGGGAGGAAATGGAGATTTTGCAGTAACCTTCCCCTTGATTGGGGAGGGAATGGATATTTTACAGTATCCTTCCCCTGCCACGTCCACCAAGCCATGCCCACAGAACTGGTAGTAAAAAAATTTGAAACCCACCACTGGTCCAGAATATAGTTTGGGGTAAAGATAATACAAACGTCAGTCTGCTGGACATTTGATAACAATCAGGGCTTGGGGTGAGTGCAACACAAGAGCAGCCACCTTCTCCTTTTCTCCATTTATTGTGGGATTGGTCTTTTTAATGCTTTTTGGCCCTGCAAATTTCCAAGGGAATATTTTGTCTCAGAGCTGCGCTAGGAGGAAC